GAGAAGTGTCCTCGTTCCCTGTGTCTTTTTTCTTGGAAGTAGAGCTAGCTACTCTTTTAGCAGTTTCAATCATCCTCCCCGAACGACAATCCTGAAATACACAAACATCAGAAGAATTATTAAAAATGCAATCCATAGAATGTGTTAGCTTACTAATAGATAACAAATTACACTTTAACAGAGGAACGTGTAATACAGACTCCAAAGTTAGGTCGGTTGTTAGCAAAACCGACTCTTTACGAGCAATAAAATAATAGGAGTGATCAGCAATTTTAACTGTATATTTCCCAAAGCATGGATAATATGCTGAGAATGCTTGAGAATATCTAGTCATGTAGTCTGTGACATATGAATCAATGATCCATGGACTAGAAAAAGAAGTAAGTATCAAAGGAGTGATACCTTAACGGACGTGGGAGGTCGACGGGTTGGAAGTGAACTGATTGGATCTGAGCAGTTTGACTAATTGCTCCATCAACTCCTAAGAGACTCGGACGATCTTTTTCTAATTTCTGAAAAAGGAAAAGATCTGTCGGAGATCCCAACGCATGTCCAATTGCAATCTCCATGGAGTTAATCAGCCACGACAAGATCATGAAGATGTGTACATGCATATATATATATATATATAACATTGCCAATGGACATTGACAATATTAGCCGTATCATAATAATTTGGAGCAGATTTTATGAATCCTCCATTCATTCAGAACAATGAAAAGGCACACTAGAAACAACTTTGCATATTCATATATTTATAAAGTAACAAACACTTTAGCTTTGACTAGGTTAAGCTTTATCATATGTTTGAGGTATATCAACTTTATAAGCAAATAAACAACCCCTCAACTTTATAAGCAAATAAAACAAAAATATTATTACTGAAATAGAAATTGGTTACAACGATGACTTTTCAAATTAGAAAATACAAGACAACAAACACAATCCATCCTAGGGCGAAGGCGACGGCGGTGAGTGGAGATGGGACAACCAAGGGTGCAAATTGGAGGGCAGCAAGTGTTGCGTACTGTGGCTGGGCAAAAGGAAAGTGTATGTGACGTCAAAGGAAACCAGCAGCTGCAGGTTTTAGAAGGGAAACGTGGGTCAAGGCAGCAGGGAGGGAAGAAGGCTGCAGTTTGGAGGGCAGCAGGTGTTGTGGCTTGGAAGGATTCAGGTACTTGGGTAGGGTCAGCGGCAGGGAAGCAGGAAGCTTTTATAGAAAGGAGGGGAGTTACGGAAGCGGGAGAAGGGAGTGGTTGGATGATACGTCTAGGTGGGAGAATCCAGCAGGCGGCAAGGAGTTGAGGTGGATGTGGAGTTCGGGGAAGATAATCACCACCGAGGAGAGCGATACAGCCAAAGCATCACCCTAACATTCGAATACATCCCCTAAGGGGAAAATAAGACGGCGGCAGCCACCCTCACAAATCTGAAATAAAAAATAACATCAATTGCTCCTAGACTCGTCGGTTAAGCACATAAATAGAACAAGTTAGGCGGGAAACGAAAGCACGAATTGAAGAAAATTTCCCACCGAATGGAAAAAAGGGGGAGAGGTCGGTCCACCCCTTTCTCAACTAAACCGGTTCAGTAAGGGAGGAAAACCCCCAAGTCATGGTCCATCATGAAAAAAGCTCAAATGTTCTATGAATTAATAAAAGACCAAGCATCAAACATTTAAAAGGTCATTCATCTTAGATTTTCATGTCATATATATGGTTTTAACTAGTAATTATAGAATCTAAAAAGTTGAAATCACAATCACTTGCATTAAAAATGAACCAACAATAATAGGAAGTTGACAACAGCTTACCCTTCTATCCTCTTCTCTTCCTATTTTCTCATTGAACACTTTAACTTGTTACTCAATTTTAATAAGATAAATCGCAGGAAAAGCTATGCATTATTATAAAAGTTAGAGGTATCTACTTCAACTAGAAACATTTTCTTTCGCTAGTCTTATCCCAACTATCAGGAGTTGGCTTTGAGAATCATCATTTTCCATTTTTTCTTTCCTATTGATAGTTATCCGAGGTGTTGAACCTTATTTTTGCAAGGCATTTTGAGTAACTGTGATCCATACTATCTTAAGCCTACCACTTTACGCTTAAATCACCTTATACTAATATCAGGTACACACCAAAAGGGTGCAACTTCTATAATTTACTGTACATGTCCAAACCACCTAATTCTTTTTTCAAATTATTATAATCAATAGATGTCACAACAAACATATGTTTAATACAATCATTCCATAATTCTTCCTAGCTTTGTTATGCACCTATCTTAAATTCTCATATTTGCCACTCGACTTGTCATCGTGATTTTTTTCACTGACACTGAAATTCATGCGATTATAAATTTATGAAGCTTTCTTTTCAGCATCAAAAGAAAAATTATAAAACTCATTTGAAAATCACTTATAAGCTCATTTCATGCTTTTATAGACATAAAAATCACTAAAATCTAGATGACAATTATTTTTAGTAAAGCATATTGATAACTTTTATTGGATGATAATTAGTTATTGATGGCCAGGTTGACTGTAGTTAAAATAATAGAATTAAGATGAGTGTGCAGTAAAACAAAAATATAATGACATTAGGTGACAACAGTGATAGTTTAAGCATGTAAAATAGAGGAATACTCGCCGATAAAATGAAGACATGATGATAATGTGAAAGGGTTTGAAAGAAAAAGGAGCAAGCCTCTAGACGAATGGACAGAAGTTGTGTGAAATGTGCAAAATACATTTAATCTGCCACACAACAATAGCATAAATGAATGGCCAAAATGAATTCATAAAACAGCCCTAAACCATTAGGATAAGGAAGATTATGATTGATCGCTTTACATCAATGTCCCAGAACAAAAATAATATGAACGCTTCAAAATGCACTGAACAATAGTTATCTTAGGCCAGACAAAATGATTTGTATCTATAACAAAAAAGCAAAACAGACAAAAGTAAAGCTTTCTCTCTTCATGCTAAATAAAAACTGGGGTCAAAGGGGTTCTATCGATCTCTAATAAGCATAAACTGAAAAAGCATTTCATATGTTTGACTTGGCAGAACTTAATTAGATTATCTGCAATTATCTGCAATGGTAGTGTTGAATAATACTTGAGGCCAACCAAAAGTACCTTGAAGATTGCAAATGAATATATGCTAAAGAAAATCCTATCTGCTTACCAGCAAATCAGCACACAAGTTTCTTGCATAAATAGCACTGAACAAAGCACGGTATTTGTAGAGCGCAAGAATCACCATCTAATCAATACACATCCCATCTATATGGGACAGCTTTATAAATCCTTGTTATCCTTAATTCCTGTTAAGTACTACAAGAGATGTAATAACTGTTTTGTACAAATCCATTTGAACAACTTCTATTCATGCTACCTTAGATATACCACTTTTTCTCACAAATCCTTCAACACAAATTTTTTTTAACAGCCGACTAAACACATTTTCTACAATTCATCGGTCAATTCATAGTTCTCAATGCTACCACATCTATCTTCCCAATATGATCGTTCCTCCATTTAAAACTCTAATTTTGCCACACATCCATCTTTATATTCTCATTTAAAAATATTGACATTGATGACAGCATTATTCCCCAACACATAAATATATATAGCATAATGAGATTGATAGCAATTTTATAAAATTATCCTTTGGGTTTTTATGATGCTCTCTTATTAGATGATATTAAGCCAGTTCTTTATTTCAACAACGAAGCCTTAAATTTATTAAATAATACCCATATCTACATATGCAGTAGGCCACACATCCATATAATCCGTGCAACATACTAAAATAGATCCCACCTAGGTGATAAAATAAGAATAATAAGCAAAATAAATAAATAACTAAAAAATAAAAACCAAAAATTTTCCAGTTATTTTGTTAAATATAGGGAAAATATACATACATGCCAAACAGTTTTTATATATTTACATATTTAAGCTTTCATATTTATATTTATAACACTTTCATATCATAAACCTATGCATGAAAAGGTGCATTTCAATTTAAGAAAGTACATAATAATGGTATTATTGATGCAATGTTAAAGATTTAAATGCTATGGAAGTAAATAAGAAAGTTCAGGTGGTCGATATGTAAATACATAAGTATCATGTATTCTGTATAGAGTTGTTAATGATCTGATTTCAAGCCGAGCTGGGGTTGGCTCAAAATTGGCTAGAAAAAAATTTGATCCAAAATTTTGGCTTGTAGATCGGCTCATTTATTTGGATCTTATCTCAATCCGAGTGAAAATTTGAATCATTTTTTTAGCAATTAATGATCTTTGAACTAAATTTGCTAAATTCACATCCCTAACATCATTAGAGTTGCTAACAATCCAATTTCGAGCCGAGCTAGCAGTTCGAAAAAAATTTAATCAAAAATTTCGCTCATAACTCATCTCGTTTATTTTGATATGATCTAGATCTGAGCAAAAAACTTGAATCAATTTTGAGTGATTAACGGTCTTCGAGTTAAATTCGTAGCTCTGATTATGTATGTAAATCCCCCTAAATGTAAACATTGGGCACGAGAAGAAAAATATTCTAATCAAGCAAACAAATGAAATAGTTAAAATAAACTTTGTGCTCGTGAGATTCAATGGTTTTAGGTCAAAAATACATCAAGAAAAAAAAAACATTGAGGTTTGAGAAAATTCATAAAATTACTGGTGAAAAGCACATATATAATTGAAAATAAATAGAAACAATGTCAAAAAAAAATGTGCCAATAAGTGGTCAGCCTCCTACAGAAAAAATAGCACCTCAATATGAAACAACCATATTAATCATCTAAGAATATACGATAATAAGCAGCACTTTAACCATAAGAATTTCTACAAATTCTTAAATTTAAGACATTGCTGCAAGTATTAAAACAACTGGAAAATAATTGAACATATCTACCTCTCTAACCCTGTTCTTGGAAAAATTGCTCGATTTTGAAATCAAAAGGAGGTCCTTACGAGATCATATGCTTGTTTTGCAAGCACGACCTTCTCAGTGCAGAGGCTCAGTGCATTTTCTTGGTTAGCCTCAATCTCCTTTTTCATTTTTTCAAGTTCTGAATCATCAACTTCATAACTTAGTTTCTTTGAGCTTTGAGAGTACATTCCGAGATAGTATTTAGTTTGATCTCTTGAATGGCTTATAATACCTTTCATGAAGAGAATAGAAATTATGTTCATGATAAGAAGCCGCAAATAAAAGGTAATTTAAGCATGTGACGAAGTTATTGGTGATAAAATTTTCATTTTCCAGATCAGAGTTCACTTACTTTCTATCAAGGGTTAAATAATAGTGATGTGAAAATTTTAAAAGAATAATATCATAACTACTAAAAATGATGATGTCCTTAAAATATTCAGCTATAAGAAAAAGTATGTGATAAGTACAACAACTTCAGCATTAGTCAATCGCAACAAAGTGCAACAGTTTGTTAGAGCAATCAGACAAATCCAAGGAACTATTACTTCACAAAAGCAAACCATAATGACATGAAATAATTAAAATAAAATTGTCAAAATGCATGGCTATAAATAACCCCTACAAAAGGAATCCAATCGCATGCAACTGTGCAAGCATTATCATAAGAAACTCTGAGAATGTTAAAACCAAGTTCCCTCCGAGATGCATTATCAACAATCAACAATTTAACCCTAAAAACGAGGATTCGTAGACAACAAGGAGCAATGAATGTATAATGTATAGCCCAATAAACAACCAAGAGCAAATAGAAATGTGAAGGATAGCATAAATTCACACACCTTGAGCTCGTTCGTCTAGCTCTCTCGTGGTGGACAGAATCCTCTGGAGATCCGCTGCCAACGTGCTCGAATCTTCCGAATAAGAAAAAAAAAAATTGAAACAAAGATGGCTAAAACCTTATGACAGAAAACATCCAATTGATGAATAAAAATTAATCCTTACACTCCAAATAATCGTCGACGAAAACCCCCGTCCTCGCAATCGCCATATTATCGATTTAGGGTTTCCTTCGCTTTACTTCCTTTCACCCGAGGTCGTCTAATGGGGAAATGCGTTTAATCTATAGATTAATTTTCTAATAAGTAACAAAAAAAATGGAAAACCCATCCTTACATTTAAGGTCAAATCATAGTTGACCTAAGATGCTTCCACCCAAATTAAACCCACCATGGAGAAGATTTTGCAGACAGACGATACCTTCGAAATATGAAGTAATTCTATTTTAATTAATTTCAATTTATTAAAATATTTGCACATTCATGCTTTCGTATTTACCTTTATACCAAATAAACCTTGCAAACGCGACAAGGGGACAGCCATATTGTTTATAGTAAAATTTTATTTTTAATGCTACTCTTGTTTAATTTTATTCAAAATTATAAATGTATTATATTTGATTTAGGGTCTTTTTGGAGCAATTTTAATATTTTATAATGATGATAAAAAAAATTTATGTGGTAAAAATAATTTTTGAAAAGTTACAATGTAATTATAAATATTTATTTTTTTTCAAAAAGTTGGACAATAATTTTCTTGATCTCTCTTCAACATTTGTGATTGCAAAAAGTAACTTCTCACCGCAAAAATTTTTAAGAAAACAACATGAAAGTAGTTTCTCAAACAGAACTATGATGTCATTAATCTATAAAACACAATACGGGTAGAAAGATGTCCAAACAAATTATAATCATAATCTTATAAAATTTTATGTGCATCTTAATTATGATTAAAGGTAACACAAAGTTTTAGGGGAGTTAAAAATCTTCTTTCAACCAATTTTTAGGAGACCGACTCTAAAAACCTTATATGAACTTGAAAATTGCGGAGTCATTGTGGCTCACCTCATACAACCTTTCCTTGCTTTATGATGACACACTACCTAGAGAAGACAATCTCCATTAATGAATACAAAACTTCGGGGAATAACAATCAATTCCACTTTAGTCATTTATTACACTTCATTTATAACCCATTTCATGTTGTTTTTCTTTGAACATAGCTCCCCGATCTATTGATCCTCTAATTATAAGCTCTCTGACCTTGCAATGTTGACAATTACAATCATGAAAGGAGTTGTTTCCAATTAGGATCTATCATCCTATAACATTTGCAATATGTGCTATGAGCATCGTCTGTACCCATTCATAACACTACCCATTAGTAAAACTCTTCTCTGCTTTATGACTCACGCTATCTATAAAAGACAAACTCCATTAATGAATAAAAAACTTCATGGGATAACAATCAGTTCCACTTTAGTCATTCATTTCATTCATTATACTCCATCTATAACCCATTTCATGATTCTTTTCTTAGAATTTAAGCACCATGATCTATTGATTCTCTTACTATTAGCTCTTTGGCCTTGCAATGTCGACAATTAGAATCACAATGGGAGTTGTTTCCAATTAGGATCTATTTAGGATCTATCATCCTATAAGAATTGCAATATGTGCTATGAGCACCGTAAATACCCATTCATAAGAGGACCTAATAATATTACCAATGGAGAATAGAATAATAATAACATCATAAAAATATGAAGAAATGCATTTGTGATTAATATAATATTCCATAAAACATTGCAATCAAAATTTTAAAATATTTAATTTTTTGGAAAATTATGTATGATTTAATTAATTTTGTTTTGAGATTTTAATAAATTTTTTTTGAGAAAAATAAAACCCCCCCCCCCCCCCCCCCCACAACCTGCCATAGCTAGCCTTAAGACTTAGTACAGTGACATTTTAGGCATAATAATTGTATCATCAAATGATATATTTTTTTATCAAATTTCTTTTTAATTATTAGCATTAGTTGTTAAGGGAAAATTTTAAGTAGAAAAATAAATAAATAAATAAATGCCCATTAAACAGGCTTCTAGATTTTTTTTTTGTTTTCTAATGTATGATGCATCGATGAACGGTTTTTATTAAAAAATAATAATAATTATTATTATTATTATTATCATTATTTTTTGACTTATAAGATGTCTTATAAGATCTATTATTTTTTGACTTATTATTATTATTATTATCATTATTTTTTTACTTATAAGATGTCTGACTTTAACTTGTCTGAATCATTAAAACCAAAGGTAATAATAAAATTGTTACAATATGTTAAATAAACATTAAATTAGAAGTGTCAAAAATACATAAAAGCATGATCCCATTCAAAATTTTCGTGATTACTTTGCTATTGTCATTACATGCAATGTAATATTTGGTCACCATTATAATACTCTGTAGAATCTTTTGGTCACCACTAAGGGTTGTGCTCTAGCACTCATGTTTAGAAGCTCGACAAAAATGGGGCGCCTTTGCGCCTACTTTGGCCACCCAAGCACCCAACTATGTTGGGTGCGATTCTGCTTTCCGAGAGGCAGAAGCTTTTGTTCCCATTCCAAATGCTTTTGTGCCTTAATCAGTTGGTACCCAAAATTTTTGATTTGAAGCCAATTTCGAGCTGCGTATCTTTAGACTTCCTCGGGTGTTCTTCAACAAGTTCCTAGTGAAGGGGAGAAGAGTTGGAGAGGAGGATTTCTGGGTTCTCGATGTGTGTTGTTCGCGTGGAATCAGATTGTGGAGCTTCCTATATGTTTCTTCGTATGAGTGTGGAGAAGAAACTTGTGTGAGTCTTCTGTAAAACTATCTGATTTTCAGAGTGAATTTGTGACAGTTTGGCTTTGTGGTTTTTTCCTGTTCTCGGAGTTTTCAACGTAAAATTCTCGTGTATTTTTCTTGTTATTTTGATTTTGCTTCTGGGTTTAAATTTATTGTTCATATTTTCTCAAATCATGTGATCATATTCCACTGTGACATTAAGAATTGTTTGGAGGATTCTTAACAACATTAGAAACAGAGCTGGGTTCAATTCGAGTGGGAGCAATGGCCAAAGAAGCAAGGTCAAGGTGGAGAAGTTCAATGGGACAAATTTCGATTTTTGGAAGATGCATGTGGAGTATTTGTTGCATAAGAAAAATTTTACCTGCCACTCTAAGGAATCACAAGGAAGCCTAAGTCCATGCTTATGGAGGAATGGGAAGTGTTCAATCGAACGTCACTATGTTTAATCAGGTTATCATTTTTCTCATCAATTGCTTTCAACATTGTGATTGAGAAAACAGGGCGGCACTAGGCACGATGTATGAAAAACTTTTTGCTTCCAATAAGGTTTTTTCGATGAAGAAATAATTCAACATGAACATGGTGGAAGGCAGTTCAGCGGTAGAGCATATCAATAACTTCAGCACTATGACGAGCCAGTTGTGTTCTCTGAGGATCAAGTTTGATGATTAGGATAGCGCACTGGTGATATTATCTTCATTGTCAAACAGCTGAGATGGTATGGAAATGACGGTGGGTAATTATTCATGGACTTCAAAGTTGAACTTTGATGATATCGTGGGTCTGATGTTGAATGAAGAAGTTTGTAGAAAAATAATGAATTGTGAATCTTCAGTTTTTGCATTGAATGTTGATAACAGGGGAAGAAATTTGAATAGGAATACAGGCAAATGAAGATCCAAGTTCAAGAAAGGAAAGCACAAGTCAAGCAAAAGAGAATGTTGTAACTTCTGTAAGAAGGGTCATTTCAAGAAGGATTGCAAAGCTCCAAGGAAAGGTGGTGGTGGAAGACATGATAGTAGTTTCTCTACTAATGTCTACACAGGTGAAATCCAAAATGACTCCTTGGTGTTATCTCTAATCAACATTGAATCCTAAATAGCGGATTCAGGCGCCTCTTTGGATTCTTGCCCCAATAAAAAGCTATTCAAAAACTACACTTAGAGTGATCTAGAGAATTTTAATTTAGGAGATAACAAGGCCTAAAGTATAGTAGGAAAGCATGATATTGATATCAATATGTCAAATAGAGCAGTCTGGAAACTTACTGAAGTCAGACATGTTTCTAGTTTGAGGAGAAATCTTATCTCTATGAGTCCACTAACAAAATCAAGATTTGTGACAACTTTCACAGATGAATTGCGAAAGGTGCCAGGGGGCATTAGTGATGACTCGGGACAACATTGACAACTTCATTTATTTTATCAATGAAATGATTGATTTCATTGATGTGACTGGAACCAGGATGGATGTAGGTATGTGGCATCATAAGCTTGGTCATATGAGAGAGAAATGTACGAAATCCCTACTTTCAAAGAATAAACTTCAAGGTTTGAAATTAGTTGAACTGAATTTCTATGAAGATTGTATATATGGCAAGTAGAAGAAAGCTTATTTCTTGAAGAGCGGGTCAACGGTAAAGTCAAAGAAACTGAAGTTAATGCATATTGATGCATAGCGTCCTACTCTAGTTCAGTTCATTAGAGGTTCTCACTGTTCTGTCACATTCATTGATGATCACACGAGAAAGGTGTGGGTTTATTTCTTAAAGTAGAAATCTAATGTATTTGAAGTCCTTAAGAAATGAAAGAATGTGGTAGAAAATGAGACAGGCTTGAAGCCGAAGTTTCTCAAATCAAATAACGAAGGTGAGTGTCATGATTAGAATTTTAGAATTTTTTGTGCTACAGAGGGGGTCAGAGAAGAGTTCACTGTCCTAAGGTCACCCCAACAACATGGTACGGTTAATCACATGAATAGAACAATCACGAAGCGTGCTAGAAGCATGAGGTTGCATGCAGGCTTGCTGAAACTGTTTTGGGTTGAAGCAGTTAACACTGTAGTTAATCTGATTAATAATAGTTCACCAGTACCTTTGAAGGCAGGCATACTTAGAGAAGCTTGGAATGGCAAAAAGGTATGTCTATTTCATTTAAGAATATTTAGGTGTTTTGCATTTGTGTTGATGCATGTTCTAAAAGCAAGCTTGACTCAAAATCTGTCATGTGTACCTTCATTAGATATGGCTCTGATGAGTTTAGGTACAAGTTTAGAGATTATCAAAATCAGAAATTCATTAGGAGTAGGGACGTCACTTTCAACGACATGGAGATGTACAATGATAGGCTTAGAACTCATGACAGCCCATTAACTACTTCTGAAGGATCTAGATATGTGGAGAAAGATGATATTGGTGATCAAGAGAATGAAGAGAAAAAAAAGTGCTCAACCAGAAGGAGCATTAGAAGTTCCTCGGACACCTACTACAGAACTCAAGAGATATAGCAGTGTGAAACAACTCATACAAAGGTATTCTCCTTCTTTACAATATTTGTTAATAATTG